TTTATACTGGATATTTCAGGAAGTCTGGCAGTTATTCAATATAGAATGAGATAGGATTCCTACTTGAAATTGCCTCTGCCAAGTCACTTATTATATAACAAAATCTAATGGGCCCAAATTGGATTCTTGCAGAGTGCCAGATGATAAAGCCTTTACCATCAACTAGGACCATTTTTGTTTGTTTTCGCGACAACACACAAGAAGAGAACGAAAGTTAAGATTATGTTGCAAAGCGTATGAAGCAACTAAAAAAAATTTCGAAAAAAGCCTTAATTAAGACTTTTGTTCTGCCCTACACTTGTTCTATTTAGGAGAAACGATTTTTGAGCCAAGAGTTCATGGTTAGCCATAATTTGAATTATTTACCTGCAGTTGGTGTCTGATTCCTCATTTTCTTCGGGCGGTTTTGACAATTTAAGTATTATCTTTTAAAGAATCAACGAGGTGGAGCCTTTGAGGATAATGCACAGAAATAATTTTTGATATTACGTACCGCGTTAAGGACTTATCATAAATGAGTCATTCGACGTTTAGAATCCGCTAAAAATAGTTAAAGTGCTAACAGTGCTATTGCTCAAAGGAGTAGTTCTGTGAAAGAGTTCATTGAGAAATGTACTAGTGTTCTTCAGCTGACATAGTCTTAATTGACCTCAGGTCTATTGAGCTTGCCAGAATTGACAGGTAAAGAAATTGTTGTAAGCATATTCGGTTCCTCTTTTGCAGAATATGAATTTTTCAAATTTAATTAGCGGCGTTAAATAGTTGCCAGCAATTACTCCATAATTAAGGGAAAGAAACGTCCAAATTGTATTGAACCTTACATCATTTGCCTTATCTGTCCAGTTATCGACATGGTACTCAAACTATGTCACCAATATTGCTATTGTTTATGCTGCATTGGCATAGAACCCAGTATAATTGAAAAATTAAACGAGAGTTACCTGTAAGTTGAAGTTTGATTGGAATTCTATCGAGTCATCAAACTGCACCAAGGGATCACATGAGATAGCTAGACGCATGCGCATAATCAGTATTTACAGCCGAATGTGACAGTCTGATCACCATGAAGTAG